ATAAAAAAAAAGCAATTATAGTTTTGAAGTTCTTAGTAATATAAGCTTTTACTAACAGAGCACAGAGATAGGTTGGTCTGTTGTAAGAGAAGCAGATTTTGGCTGTTTTGGGCCAAATACATGGGATGTTTTCCCCCATGTATTTTTGCTTGGTTCACATAAGACTCTTTTACCAACTGTTGCTGTTAGAATTTTCTTGCTTGAAACTTCTATGTATCACGTTGCCATAGAGTCTTCTCAAAATTCAGTGTAGCAACCATCTATATTTTAGTAAGTAATCTTAACTTTTAATGATGCATAATATTATCTGAATGAACTTCCTTTACTTCTTATTCTAAACTTGCAACTCCTTCTAATGTAAAGCACTTTTCCTATAGATGAAAATGCTATGTTTTGCATTAGTCTAAGAAACGTTTGAAGAAACCTAGATCTGTTTTAATCTGCGTGTAATTCTAAAAATAAAGCTATGACTAATAGTTCCAATCCTATGACTAGGAATGTTATAGTGGGCCAGACAACCTTCTTGTCAAAATAACATTTTAATTCAATAAATAATGACAAAGATCCTGGGAGACCTTGCAAAATTTGGACAAAAATGTTAATGTCTAGGTTGATCTTTCAAGGTTTGGATTGATCATTTATTATCTCACATGATTTCAAGTGACAACATTAAAATGTTATTTTAAGAGAACCGTGGTGGCGCAGTCATTAGAATGCAGTACTGCAGGCTGCTTCTGCTGATTGCTGGCTGACTGCAATTGGCAGTTCAAATCTCACCAGGCTCAAGGTTGGCTCAGCCTTCCGTCCTTCCAAGATCGGTAAAATGGGGACACAGATTGTTGGGGGCAATATACTGACTCTATAAACAGGTTTTAAAGCATTGTGAAGAGGTATATAAGTTTAAGTGCTATTGGTATTAAAAAAAAAGTTCATTTCCGTTTCCTATGAATGAGACAGGGAGACCTCTTCTGCAGTGTGATAGATTTTAGTGGTCTGCATAAATAAAAGCTTGATAATAACTGACAAAGAAATATTTAAATGTTTTATTTATAACTAGTTTTTACCAATCACTCAACTATGATGTATATATCTCTTGGAATTATTTATTCCTTTTAATTTGTTCCTTGCTTAGATCAAAACGCCAAATTCTGTAATTCAGAATTTATAAGTTTATTTAGCATTCAGATCAAGACAGAGGTGGGTTCCTACCAGTTCGCACCAATTCGGTAGAACCGGTTCGTCAAATCTACCGAACTGGTTAGAAGAGGTTCCACCAGTGGACCCGGAAAGCAGGCCACACCTACAGAAGAGGTTCCAAAATTTTTTGAAACNTCCTTTAGTGGAAACCTTTTTCTCAGCAGCAGGAGCAGATTTATATTTCGTGTTCCTCAATCGAGCAGATCTTCTGTGAATTTCTTGCTTACTCTATGGCATATGAAACATAAGAAATATTTAGAAAGTGTACTCTGAATTCCATTTACATTATTATGCATATTTAAAAAGAAACATGGAGTAAATGGTAACAGGTGAAAAAGTGTACAAACTAAGTTCCTATTCAAAACTTATTTACTTGAAAGCACATCCCAGTACCGGTAATTTCAATGAAAAATGTTTTTCATACTTTCCTCATAGGTTAAAATGACTCACAAGAAAACAAGACACAGTGCCAGCAGCTTCAGCAATTCTCAGAAATCATTTCCAATCACTCCCATTAATTCTGAGAAATATCCCAATACCCTACCTCCTGTATTTCATTATCTGTATATTTTTCTAAACATATGACTAGCTCACCACCCTGCAGCCTACAAAAAAAAGGAATACATTAACAGCCAGATTATAAAATGAAAAATTAGTTAATCTTTGTAGTAACAATAAACCAGCACAATACAAGGAACAATAACATCTCAAAATAGAAGTTTCTCTAAAACAACTTAGGTTTTAGAGCTTTTTGAAAAATCAATAAAGGGATCATCCACCAGGAGGCTGTTTCCACAAAATTGGTAGTTCCACCCAGTGGCTTACTAGATGAAGTCATATAATTGTGGTTACTTAGTTGTTGTTTTTTTAAAAAAAGTTAAGCAAACTTTAAGTTGGCATGCCTCAACCCCATGACGGATATTTTATTCCCAATTAAGACTGCAAACTTATATACAAATGAGTACACCTGTGGAGTTAATGGGACTCCTGAATAGAAACATATAGCAATTATATACTGCTTCACAGCCCTCTCTAAGGAGTTTACAGCGCCTAAGCATATTTTCCCCAATAATTTGGGTCCTCATTTTACCGACCTCGGAAGGACGGAAGGCTGAGTCAACTTTTGATATTAAGATCCCAGCAGATGCAACAAACTTTTTTCAATGTCTTCTACCGTATTGTGGACTCACCCCGAGCGCACTTTCCAAAGTTTAGTCATTTATACTTTTTTTTCTAAAAAAAAAAACAAAAAATGACGGGTATCTTTTCAGTGTGCATTTTAAACAATAGTTTAATGCTCCCACCTTAGCACTGGGGGAAGGCAAACCGCGTGTAAACGTTGCCACTAATGCAAACTAGAGTGATTTATAGCCACCACCCCGAATGATACACGAACATTCAACGTATTTCTTTTAAAGCAGTTTCCTCGCTGCTTGGGGATTGAGAAAGTCCTTCGTACAAAGCCTGGAGGGGAGGTGGGGGGGAAAGGTCGAGGCCCGCAGCCTCAGACCCGGGCTAACCTCAGGGAGCTCTGCCTAAGAAAGTAAACCCCGCGGCTGCCGATGGTTTCGGGGCGGCTCCTAGAGCACCTCACCTGCTTCCCGCCGCCGCCGCTATTCCCGCCGCCCCCTCCTCCTCCGCCGCCGCCGCCGTTGCTGTGCTGCGAGGCCGCGGAGGTGCCGGCGTAGGAAGCCGCCCCAGCAGCGGCCGGCCCTGAACGGCCCGTGCAGTTGTTGCAGAGGATCTCGCCCTGCCCGCCTTTCTTCCACATGGACGAGGAAGTGGTGCGGCAGACGCTGCACGTCGGCTTGAGGCCCAGCGGCATCCTGGCTCTGGCCCGTTTGCTCCTTCGGTTCCTGACACTCGGCCCACCCGCCACGACGGCTCGGTCGCGGAAGCGGCGCCCAAGGCGAGAGGCCAGCGCTGCTGAGGAAACGGAGGGAAAGCAGGGCGGCGGCGGCGGAGAAGGCTGCCCCCTGCTGGATGCCCAGCAGGATGCGCGGCTCGAGGCTGTATGGAGGGGGCGGGGGGAATGAATCCTGTAATAAGTGGGGTCTCTCAAAGCCGGGATGGGGCGGCAGCGGCGGCGGAGGCCTTGGTTGAGACTCCGGCCGACCGTGAGGAAGCTCATTGGCAACCAGGCCTATTACTTGGAATTTTAGGCTTTTAATAAATATAAATATATAAAGAATTATATATCCGTGCTTTCTTTTTAGCCGAAGCCCATTTTTCAGGTGCAAAAAACTTGCTTCTCAGCAGCTAAACAATAGAGACTTGGAATAACTTTATTCTCATTTTGAATGTACACTGTATCATGTATGTAATCAGCATACATTAAAATGAAATTTCGTTGCATATGGGTCTCAAAGGGTCACCACTTCCGATATACACTATATAAACATGACAAAATAAATAAATACAAAATTATGCATATACCCACATATATGACACAGAGAAACAACAAAAAGAGAGCATATTCTGAAAGTCCATGAATATACTTCCAAGTCTAAAAGATACAATCCGGACTGGCAAAGGGAAACCTATAAATTTGCCACTTGGAAAGTTATGTAGAATTGATGTTTTCTTTTCAAGACTGACATGTACAGATAGTCCTTGACTTACAACCACAATTGAGCCCAAAATTTCGGTTACTAAGTAAAACAGTTGTTAAGTGAGTTTTGCCTCATTAAACATCCTTTTGTGCTAGAGTTGTTAAGGGAATCACTGCAGTTTTAAAATTAGTACCACAGTTAAGTAAATCTGGCTTCCTGGATGACTTTACTTGTAAGGTCACAAAAGGTAAATCACAGCAATCGTCATAAATATGAGTCAAAATTCATCTGAATTTTGATCACATGGCTATGGGGATGCTGCAACAACCATAAGTCACTTTTTCAGTGTTGTTGTAATTTGCCACTAAATGAATTGTTACAAGTTGAGGACTATCTGTAATCAACGTCTTTTATTGTTTGATCATTTACAATAATACAATAGCAGAGATTGAAGGGACCTTGGAGGTCTTCTAGTCCAACCCCCTGCCTAGGCAGGAAATCCTATACCCTTTCAGACAAATGGCTATCCAACATCATCTTAAAGACTTCCAGTGTTGGGGCATTCACAACTTCTGGAGGCAAGCTGNGCGCTTTAGACACCGCGGTTTAGTCAGGCGCGCTTTTGTTGTGCGCGCATTTGTGGTGGAACCCTTTATTTAACCTACATTATTTCAGAGAAAAACAGTTTGCAGTTTTTCTTGGTTAATGACAGCAATTGGGACTGAAATGTCTATGCCAAGTGATGCAGCTATAAAAAGGGATGTCACATGACCATATTGCAATTCTAACATCCCCATTGCCCTTCATAAATAAATCTCACTGGCTGTTCTCACTCTGATTCCCAACTTCCTACCTTTCAGTCAGGAGCCTTTGTAAGGTAAGAGACTGCTCCTCCTTAACGTCCCCCATCTGCCTATCTCTCCCCATCTGTGCTCTTTTGGTAAGGTAAGAGACTGCCATTCTGGACTCCACTGCCTTTCCTTCCCCCAGCTAGCCTTTTCCATCTTCTGCTGTTGATGAGGCATGTCCGGCATGGAAGGCTACAAAAACTCATAAGAAGACTGTGCAAGGCACATGATCTCAAGAAGAAGGTCTGGCACAGCTAGCAGATGTCTCAGAAAGTGCCAGTCTGGTCATACCTCATCAGCAGCAGGAAGAAGAAGACAAAATTGAAAGAGTTTCAGCACAATAACTATTGTAATGAGTGTATTGATGTTATCTAAAGGTATAACTGGATTGGAATTATCCAAGATGGACAGTAACATACCAGCAGGTTTTCCTGGAGGCATAGAATATGTCAAATACCAACATCCTGGTGGTGATTCTCCAGAAGTCCCAAGTCCAGTAAAGCAATTTGTGAAGCAAGATAAATTACCACAAAGTAAGGAGAAAATAATTGCTCGAGAGGCTTCATCAAAATTTGAAAGGGATCCATCAAACATAAGAAGAACAAGATCTTCTCCATCATCTGGCAGACGTCCAAGACGTGGACCATCGCACAGAAGACGCCAACACATGGTAAATGTTGTTGAAGATGCAGGTCCATTTGCAGACAAAGCCGTTCGCAGAAGTAAGTGGCAACAATCTCTGGCAAGTCAAGAACATGTAGAAAAGAACTGGTATAAAGTTGTCAATAGTTCTAATCACATGGTCATTGGTCAATGAAAGTATGTTACTTCAGGTTGAAGATGAAAATCTTGTTATTTCTTCCCTTTAAATTCAGCTCCCCAGGAATAGAATTGATTTGGTAAACTTCATCCAACATTCTGTAATATTCTTTGTAAGGAGTCTAGCCTACAGTAACAAAGATTATTCAGAGATAATGGGTTATACTTTGAATTGGATGCATTTGGCTCTAAACAGTCATTCTTAAGTTCATGAAATGGCAGGAAATTGAGCCATTCTAAATTTGAAATAATCCAATTTTAAATCTAAATCCGTTCCGTATATGATCTATTCAAAATTGCTATCAAACTTAAAGAGAGATATTTTGAATTTTAAACTTAAAATTCAAAATATTTGCACCGTCCATGCACCTCCAGTATTTACCATAATTACCTGACTTTGCTTAATATCCAAGTGGAATCTACTTTAAGTTTAAAACTACTCTCCATTTCTGCTTACATGCTTACCTAGTGATGAGAATGAACAGACAACTGCTTCAAGAAGAGGAAGGGGAAGAACTTCAGGAAATGAAAATCCAGAGAGCCTTTCCCTGCCCACTTGCACACACATTAGANAGATAGGTAATCTGTCTATGTAGACTAGTAATTTGTTTACAAAGGGGACAGTATCCAAATTTGAAAAGAGTACTGCGAAAGACAGGTGCAAAACAACTACTACATTGAACTAAGCCGGTCATTTTGAAATAAAATAAAATCACAATCTCAAGTGCACTAATCCAGAATGTATTACTGCTATTTTGATTTATAGATATATTATTCGCATGCCGTTAGGGGCACGGGCTACTACCTCGTCCTCTTTGTCTCTCTGACTCCCCTCTTGTAGCCAGCTGTTCAATCACCAGCCTCAGGGAAGTTCAAATGAAATGGACTTAAAGGGCCCCTACCTTTGTCTCTCTGACTCCCCCTTGTAGAAAACAGCTCCAATCATCAGCCGCAGGGAAGTTCAAATCAAATTTGCTTTCTGATGTATCTAAATACATTTGCTTGTGTACCCTATAAAAATGCCCGACTTTCCTCCCCATATAGGGTTTTATCTGTGTACATGGTAATTTGTATTTTTGAAAGGCAAAGAATCTCCATTACAAAAGTGAAAATGTCTCTCTCATATTTAGGGTTTAGATTCTTACGGACGCCCATGTCAAAATTGGGGTGTCTGAGTTTTTAAGAAACAGATTGAAAGCTCATTCCTTCACTTGCAAATAATTGCGGGTATCCTGTGGCTACCTTCGGAAGCAAGGGTTGTTGGGGTTTTTTTTACCATCCAAAGAACATGATGGGACTCACTGAAAGGGAGTTCTCATTGGCCACAGTGTGCTAACGATTTTACAATTAGCACATGAACAAACCATCTATAACAGGCCTGTCAAACTGGCAGCCCACAGGCCTGATATATCACACACAGGCCACCACCACCACCCTGGCTCTGAAAAGGCAAAAAATGTCACGATATGTCACAGCATGTGACATGATCAAATTTGACACCTGTGATCTATAAGATGAAATTTTGCATAGAGAATGTGCATTTGTAAGATAGGTTTCCTCTTCATCCTTATTTGTTTCAAAAAAAAAAAAAAAGCTCATCCTTAAAGAGGAAAAAAGTATCTGAAGGCAAATTCCAAGAAAAAGTAGGAACTTTTAATAAAATGGCAGTAATGAAGGATGTGTAATAGAGACATTCTTTCATTTTAATAATTTTAATATGGTAAGCTGTGTTTAACCTGGGTTTGTTAATTATTATTTTTTAATTTGAGAGAGTTCTATTTTACTCTGCTCTTCCATTATCTCCATGGTGATCGCAGACTCATCCAGCACCTCTGCAAAGCTTATTTATATGCTTCGTACTAAATCAAACAATACAGGTGAAATTTAATAGCAGACAATGGATGATTAAGAAAAGGAAAGTCATTAAAAGAACAGAAAATTTTAAACAGATAAACCAACATCTGCTTTGACTCCCAGCAATAACATTGAAAAACAACGTTGACATTCTTGATAATTATACTGTGGCTTATCTTGCGCTGTTTAATTTTGGCTTTTGGTCTTCTGCTATTGTAATGGGCAAGCAAGATATATTACAATTACAGAGCTCAAAAGGAAATTAGTATATTACAGGACTGTATGGGTTATTTTAGCTGCTTGGAAAGAGATAAAGTTTTTCACAGGACTCTCAATGAGAAGAGGAAAAGGCTTTGATACAAGAAATAAGAACTTCCACCAAGCAATGAGTGTCTAACTGAAAGTTGTTAGTTTATTCCTCATTGTCTCCAAGCTCTATTTTGGATTTTTTTTTTCTAAATTGAAATCAGGAGCTGGAAACAGAAGGCACATGAAACACAAATTAACAGGACTCTAATTGACTTAGATCTTTAGACAATAATAACCATTATGGGAGGAAGGCTTACAGAACAGTCTGCATCAAAGCCTTGCTAGAAGCAGTATTGCTGAGCTATTAATAGGTATCAGGATTTAAGTCTGAACATTAGTACTTTAGCTGCAGGCTACCATAATTTTTAAATTTCCACAGCTAAAAACAGTTTCTCAAGGTGACCTTTTTCATACATTTAAAAATAGAAATCTACACAGAAAAATGCTTACAAATATTGGCCACCTCTTTCCATCAATATGAACACTGTCAATGTGAAAATTTTCTCTAGAAAATAATCACATTTCATTGCTTGTTCTTGCACAGGTGGTTCTTGATTTACAACAGTTCATTTAGTGACCGTTGAAAGTTACAATGGCACTGAACAAAGTGACTTGGGACCATTTTTCACAGTTACAACTTTTGAAGCATCCCCATGGGCATGTGAACAAAATTCAGATGCTTGGCAACTGGTTCATACATTTAAAACAAGGCAAAAGGGGCTATGCGGGTAGTCCTCAACTTATAACCATTCATTTAGTGATTGTCCTAAGTTACAATAGAAAGGAAAACAATGACTTATGGACGTTTTTCACACTTATGGCCCTTGCAGCATCCCCATGGAGCAGAGGTGGCACAGTGGTTAGAGTGCCGTGATGCAGGCTACTTCTGCTGGCTGCCGACTGCCTGCAACTTGGCAATTCGAATCCCACCAGGCTCAAGGTTCACTCAGCCTTCCATCCTTCGGAGGTAAAATGAGTAAAATGTGCACCCAGATTTTGTGGGGGGGGGCAGTACGCTGACTCTGTAAACTGCTTAGAGAGGCGCTTGGTGACTCTCGCGATGCAAAGTGCCCCGCTGCCCCCGATGCCGCCGCCCGCCCGCTGCCCCAGCCTGAAGCCAGCCCAGCACCATACCCAGGTCTGCTGCGATGTAAAGTGCCCCGCTGCTTAGAGAGGGCTGTATAAAGCTGTATACACAGGTAAGAGAGGGCTGCTCTGCTTAGAGAGGGCTGTATAAAGCTGTATACACAGGTAAACTCAGAAAATTAGAATATCATGCAAAAGTTCATTTATTTCAGTAATGCAACTTAAAAGGGGAAACTAATACATGACTCATTACATGCAAAGCAAGATAGTTCATTCAAGCCGTGATTTGTCATAATTGTGATGATTATGGCATACAGCTCATGAAAACAGTGACGTGCAGTGAGGTTTATGCCTGGTGAGGCAAAAAGAAAAAAAGCGGCTTGACAGTGGGTAGAGGGGAAAGCGGCGGCAGCGGAGGAAGCAGTAGCGGCGGCCGATGAAGTTCCCATGATGCAAAGTGCCCCACCGCCACTGAGGCCAACATCCACACCGCCTCTGATGCCGCCGCCCGCCCACTGCCCCGGCCTGCAGCCAGCCAGGCAGCGGTCGGCCTCAGGGGGCACTTTGCATCACGGGAGCCGCCAAGCGCCCGGGTCTGCAACAAAGGCGCTTGGTGACTCTCGCGATGCAAAGTGCCCCGCTGCCCCCGCTGCCGCCGCCCGCCCGCTGCCCCAGCCTGAAGCCAGCCCAGCACCATACCCAGGTCTGCTGCGATGTAAAGTGCCCCGCTGCCGCTGACATCCACACCACCCCCCGATGCTGCTGCCCGCCTGCCGCCCCGGCCTGCCGCTAGCCCAGCACCATACCCAGGTCTGCAGCAAAGGCGCTTGGCGGTTCCCACAATGCAAAGTGCCCCGCCGCCACCGACATCCACCCCGCCCCCCTATGCTGCCACCCGCCCACTGGCCCGGCCTGCAGCCAGCCCAGCACCATACCTGGGTCTGCAGCAAAGGTGCTTGGCAGCTCCCATGATGCAAAGTGCCCCACCCCCGATGCCGCCACCCGCCTGCTGCCCCAGCCTGCAGCCAGCACCATGTCCAGGTCTGCATGTCCCACTGAATGTCGGCCTGGAAGGCATGCCAACACTTTAAAGTGCATGCTGCCTCGGCCCGCCATACAGCAAAACATGTCCTGGTTTGTGGCCAGGCAGCACGCTGGCACTTTAAAGTGCATGCCTCCCAGCCACAAACCAAAGTGCATGCCTTCCGGGCCAGCCATTCAGCGGGACATGCTTTAAAAAATAAAATAAAAAATGAAAAATGAAAAATAAAAATAAATGTGCCAGCCCGCGCGCCAGCAGAGGCAGGTGAACACATACACACACACAATAAAAACAAATTACAATTACTTACATTACAAATAATTTTGAATTCCTCCCCCCCTGCCCCCCTCCCTCTGACCCAGATACCTTCCAGCTGCGTCAAAAATGCAAGATTTGGTCTAGCCAGGGCCAAGCAGGCTAGGACAGTTGCTGCTAGAGTCACCACGTGGATGACTCTGCTTAAATGTTTTTAAAAAGCCTTTAAGCCCTCTGCAGGAGGAGGCGAGAGAATCTTTTGCCTCATTTGCATAAGATTTTTTTTGCTTTTTAACCCTTGCTTAACTCTTAAAAGGCGAAAAATTCCTTATGCAAAGGAGGCCCATAGTTCTCTCG